ATACCATTTATATGCACACTAGAGGCCTGGTGCACAGATTTGTGCAGGGGGTGGTCCCTTAGCCTGGCCTGGGGGGATCAGGCCAAAACTGGCTCTCCGACATCCCCCGAGGGGTCCCAGATTGTGTGAGGCAGTTCTCGGGTGACGCACCCTGGAATCAGGCTCCCTCCCCTCTGGTTCTGGGTGCGTCACCCAAGAACCACAGCTGCCAAGTCACCGCCGTTCAGCTGCTCCTGCATTGAGCGTCTACCCACTGGCGGTGATTGCGCCACCAGGGAGACAGTCACACGGTTGGACGGTCGCTTAGGCTTTCATATATATAGGTCATTATATATCACTAATGCACATTCTCCGACTGCATGAGAATCTTCCTCAGGGCTACTAACCTCATTTCTTCTTTCCTCCTAGGGGACCATAAGCCATCATCCAGTCCCCTCTCTCTAGAGCAGCAGTTCTCAACCTGTGGGTCGCGACCCCTTTGGCGGTCGAACGACCCTTTCACAGGGGTCGCCTAACACCATCCTGCATATCAGATATTTACATTACGATTCATAACAGTAGCAACATTACAGTTATGAAGTAGCAACGAAAGTAATTTTACGGTTGGGTCACAACATGAGGAACTGTATTTAAAGGGCCAGAAGGTTGAGAACCACTGCTCAGAGGCTCTGTTCTGCCTCCTCTCATCATCTTATCCTTTCTTGTACCCTAAAAAGAAACCCCCTCTATTGACTCAGAATTCTCCTTCTGACTCTTTTTTCCAAAAAAGCTCCTGTCCTCCTGTCCACATACAAGCAAGATGTTGTTTTAAAGTTGCTTAAACTCCTTAATTGCCAAATTCAATTAACACATATCCTTATCTTGTTGACCCCTTGGTGGCACTTAATGTCTTGGACCTTTCCTTCCTTTTTGGAATCCTTTCATTCCAGGTTTCCACACACCTGCTCCACAAATGTACCTTCTACCACCTTCACCATTCCTTTTCAGCGAGATTGTAGTTGTTTTATTTATTTATTTATTTATTTTATTTACTTATTTTGCATACTTTCTCAGTTTGCAATTAAATGTTGCTCTCCAGAGCTCTGTACTTGGTTCTGTTTTCAAGCTACAAAATTTCTCTGGGAAAACCAATCAATTCCTACAGTTTTAGTTAATCACCTAGTCTGTTATGATTCCCACATGTAAATCTTTAGCCCTAAATTCCCTGCTGACCTCTAGATCTTATGTTTCTGGTTGTCCCCTGAGTACCTTCTCCACCTATGTGTTACCAAGCTTTCTAAAATCTATTAGATCAATTCTGGGTTCCTTTCTTTTTAGTATTTTACATGCAAGAAGGAAAGTTAACTAAATACTTGGTAGCCAGAGGGGCAGATTATGGGACTCTGATAATGCTGTTTATTTCTGTGCCCCTTCTTTCTGGTTACATGGTGAAAATGTATACCTGCTCCTTTGAAATTAGGTGTGAGATGACTTGTTTTGGCCAGTGAAATATATTGGAGGTGATGTGTGTCACTTCTAGGTGGAAGCCTTTAAAAACTGGCATCCACATAATTTTATTCCCGTCTTCCTGTTATGGCAAGTGGCACCACTGCAGAGGAAAGAGGCACCATCAGCTTGTATCCTTATGTGAAGGTGCGGTGCAGCAGATCTCCCACCAACCAAAACTGGACATATAGCATGAGTGAGAAATAAACCTCTATTAAGTTAAGCCTGTGAGATTTTGGAGTTCTTTATTATTGCCATATGGCCCAGCCTGACCTGACTGATTCAAGATCCAAAACCAAATTCATCAATTTTTTGCTTGCACTTTATCCTATATAATAAAAGCCCAGCAACCGTAACAGTGTAATGACTAGAATGACTGTTCAACCAGTCACTATGAGATGCATTGACCATCTCTTGGTCCCTCCCCCTGGCCCTCAGACTCCACTCGCAGGATGGTGAATGGGGAACCATGGGGAACTGGGGTGGGGGGTGGTGGGGCAGGACTGGGGACTGGCGAGCAGGAGGAAGATGGCCCTGATCACAGGCTAGGCCTAGGGACCCTACCTGCACACAATCTTGTGCTCTGGGCCTCTAGTTAACAGATAAAAAAATATCAAATCATCTGACCTGACTTTCCTCCTATATTCTCTGTTGCCTTATCTCTGAGCCATCACCATCTCTACCCACTTCACCAGGCCAGAAAACATGGGGATATATGTAATCTTCACTTTCATGTCCATCCACATTTTATGATTTGGCTAGTTCTGTAGATTTTATTCCCTAGTTTTATTCCCTAAGTTTGAATATATTATTCAAATATATTCATTCTTTTTTTAAATCCTCACCTGAGGATATTTTTCCACTATTTGTAGAGAGAGTGGAAGGGAAAGGGAGAGACACACAGAGAGAAACATCAATGTAAGAGAGACACATCAATTGGTTGCCTCCCCCTTGCACCCCAACCAGGGCTGGGGATCAGCCTGCAATGGAGGAACATGCCCTTGATCAGAATTGAACCCAGGACCCTTCAGTCAGAGGGCTGACACTTTATCCAATGAGCCAAACCGGATAGGGCTCAAATATGTTCTTTCATGTACAGTCTATCTTTAATATCTATCTTCTCATCTGTTGCCTGAAATATCGCACTGACTTTGTAAATGATCTCCTTGTCTCTATTATCAGCCTTCCTTAAATCCATCTTCCATAGGGCTGCCAGAGTGATTTTCATACAATGCAAAATTTGACCATTCCACTCTCCTGCTTAAAATCTTCACCAGCACTTACAGAATCAAACTGAAATGCTTTGGAATGGCATACTAGGCTCTTAATAGTCCAAGTCCTTTCTCTCTCCTCAGCCACATCTCTGCTCTAGCCATACCTGGCCCTAGAAGCACTGTTCCTTCTCCTCCCTCTCCTGCACGCGCACACATGCACACACACACACACACACACACACACACACACCATACTATTTCTTGGCTGAAATTACAACTTCTAGAAATTACAACTTATGTGCCATTTACTCTAAGAAGGCTTTTGTGGTTGTCCCAAATAGACATATCTACAGTATTTCCTCCCTTATGCCACTTCTCTGAGTAAAATGTGCTTTTGTTACTTAATATGGCATTTTTTAAAAACTTTTGCTTATGTGGCTATTGTGATGGCCATCGATAGTGACATATCCTCTTACAGAGAGGGTAGCTATTTTATTCACCATTATATCTGGAAAGCACAGTACTTAGTATATTACAGGTACCTCAAAAGATGTTCACAGAACTGAAACAATAGGCCATTTGATCAAATAGCTCAACATTTGTTAATGGCCTATATTTTATTAAATAGCTTAAAATATGTTGAGAGTTTACTATGTGTTAGGCACCATAGTAAGTATTCTATGATTCCAGGGCAATAATTCCAGGGCAATGATTTTCAACCCGAGTGCCATGGCACACTGGTGTGCCGCAATAATAAAAAAGAATGAATATGTTTGAAGGATACTTAGGGAATAAAATCTACAGAACTAGCCAAATCATAAAATGTGGATGGACATGAAAGTGAAGATTGCATATACCCCCAGGTTTTCTGGCCTGGTGAAGTGGGTAGAGATGGTGATGGCTCAAAGATAAGGCAACAGAGAATATAGGAGGAAAGTCAGGTCAGATGATTTGATGTTTTTTTTTTTATCTGTTAATAGAGTGTAAGATAAAGAGGTCAGTGCCCCTGACTAAATAGGCACTTATCTTTTTATCTTTAGATTGTCAAATTTTAAAAAAAATGACAACAGCCAACACAACAATAGCTATCTGGTGTGAATGAATCAAAATTAGACCTATTTTTTTTGTTAGATTGGCAAAAAATATATTTATTAATGTGCCATAAAATTTTAGTAGTTTATGTGTGCCATGAGATGAAAAAGGTTGAAAATCACTGTTGTAGGGCATTGAGACAGACATTAAGTACCTATCATTACAGATTTCATTATATGAAGCAAACCTTATCTCACCTTCCTAATAGGCCTTAGATATTAATCCAGTGGATTCTTTTCCTATGAGTAACTGAATGAATAGCAGAGACACTATACTTACATTCAAAGTGTATTTTTTATCTACAACTTTTAAGATGAAGTCAGCTCTAATATTTAAAACATTTTGAAAAAATATGGCATTTATATGTCATCTTTCCTTTGAAGCACAACACTTATTTATCACATTTAAGGGACCTCTGTAGTGAGGGGTAATTTAAACAAGAGAAACGGGTCACAGAGAAGTTGACTAACTTGCCCCATATCATAACTTTTCAAGATATCATCATTCTCTACATACTCTGCCCCCACAAAATAATTTTCTAATTATCATTGAGTGATAAACTGCCAAGCAGTGACAGAATATACATAAAAATCAAGACTTATCTTCAGGGGACTAATCATATGTTGGGAAAAATCACGACATTGTATTATGACTCCAATTTCTGGCCCTCTTGGCTAGAACATTTAAGGTTGTACAATTTATCTCTTCTGAATTTTGTATTATCTTCAAATAATAATAGGCAGATATATGAACACAGCGTTCCCAGCCCTGGAGAGCCATCTGCGCCCCTCGGATATTCTTTTTATAAGGAGTCCATTCGTTCACGCATTTTGTATTATGCCGGAAAGAGGAGTTAAGGTCATTCCTTTTCATTTATTCGCATCCCATTTTTACAATACGGGGTGCAGAACCAGTTTCATTTGCCAAAGGCCAAAAAGCCCTGAGACTTGGGCGAGTCAAGCATTAATTACCAGCCACTTGGCCCATTTGCAGAAATACACAAAACGTGTAGAATCACTTAATTTTATCCCCTCCTAATCTTTTCACTTGGAAATTGGCTGCTCGGGCGAATGTTGTTTTTCTCTCCGCAGCCATGTGTGAAGAGCGATTAACAATCGCTCGACAAACCCCTTCCCGGGCCATTTGGGAGCCGCACGCGTTCACACCCGGGTTCAGTCCGTTTCGCCTTCACGCGCAGCCTTTTTGTTTATGCGGCGAGCAGGGCAGAGAGGGGCGGAGAGGGAGCGAACCTCTCAATGTGCAGCAGGCCTGGGGAGGCTATATAAGCTGCGCCGGGCGCGGGCCGTTTTGTGCAGGGGCAGGCTTTTCTGCGAGCTGGAGGGGCCTTCGGCCTAGCCCCGCTGCGCATGGAGACAGCGGAGCGCGCGGAGAGCGGGGCCGGCGAGTGCGCGCACTGCTGCCGCCTGCAGCCCGCGGCCCCCGAGGGCCCCGCGCGGCACGGGAGCGCGGACTCCGGGTACCGCCCTGCACTTCCTTTACCGCATCCCTCCAGCGCCTGCCTCTCCAGCTCCTCCTCTCCGCTCCCGCCCTCCACTCCTCTTCCCCTCCCCTCCACCCCACTCCCCCGGGGTCCACGCTCGGCTGCGATCGGTTCTGCCGAGTCTGGGCTCACGTCTCCTCTGCGCGCCTTTGCTCCCCACTCCGCAGATCCGGAGGCTTCTGGAGACCGTGGATTGACGCACGAGGAAAGCAGGAGGAGGAGGCCCCGCACCACGCCGAGGAGGTGGTGAGTGAGCCGCGCGTGGCCGGCCGCGCCTCCGAGGGGCGCAGATAGTTCTCCAGGGCTGGGAACGCCGGCCCGAGGGAGACACGCGCCCGGCCAGCCCCTCGCTTACGATCGCGCCTGCTGGTGGTCCTGCGGTGGTCCTACCCGTGGCCCTGTTGGTGCTGATGAGGCGAGAGCAATTGCGACACGGGGATCGGGCAAAAAGCGAGGCTGCAGAGAGCCCTGGGGTCACTTTCCCTGAGGGCGCGAGGAAGGCTTGGTCCCGCGAGTTTCCAGGTTCTAGAAAAAGGTGAGTGATAACTATGATTCATCTCCTTACGTCTCCAGATGCCCGGGATGACCGAAGCCTCTGGAAAGCTTTCGCGATACAAGCACCCAGTCAGGTGAGTGACAGGCCAAACCTAAGGTCTCCTGCTGCTCCAGCCCCTGGAAAAAGCCAGGGACTTTGCATGGCCCAGCTCAGCAGCTGGTCCTGCAGTTTTTCTATTGGAAAATCCTGTAGGTAGTATCTTCAAGGTTACTTTATCTTCCCAGTCCCAGAGGTCTTTTAACTCATCGAATTGAAAAATGTAGGCGCTCACACTCTCACTTAGAAGAACTGTTTATCAGCGCATACTCGGTAAGAGGCTTAAGGAATGTTGTATAAATAGGGAAAGTGGACGATGATATAGTAAAAGTTGAACGTTGACATCTTGTGCCTGCAAAAGTTGTTTGCTTTTTAAGGTCAAGGGGTCTGAATGCAATTAACTTCACACCAGGCAAAGTGTATATGTTCTTATTCTCCTGCAAACCAGAAGGAAGAAAGATGTTCACAGTTGCAGTTTCATAGCAAAGGGAGCAAAAGGAGCTTGCTACAGTAAGAGAAAATGGAAATGCGATGAAAATTCTAAAGGTCCCTGAGGGTCATAAAAGGGATCACAAGTTGTAGGGCATAACAACGAGGAGCTGGTTTCCTATTCTAATCACAGAAAGTCAGCCTTTCTGTAGGATTCTCTGTAGCTTTTATTCGGGTAAAAGGTTAATTTTGCAGTTTGCCTGCTTCAGAGAGCTGTTAGGTGAAGAGCTACATGATGTTTGTAACTCGCCAGCCTGGCTATGTGTTTATAGATAACATGTTGCTTTATTTCCTGCCATGTGCTAGCACTAGTGCAGGACACAGGAAAAAAATAATCATGGCCCCCTGGGAAGCATTGTGAGAGAGTTCAATTGGGTCAGTGTGACACTTCAGGGCATGAAGTGGGGAGTGGGGAAAAGTCAGGAAAGGGTATTATAGGTTGTGGTCTTTAAGTTAGCCAAATGTTTGTAGGTGGGGAAGGCAGGGCCAGAAGAAACAGCATAGGGAGAGAGATAACAGGGTCATGGAACAGCATGGCTCCTCTGGGAGCATCCAGTTGCTGGAATTTGGGTGTGTGAAGCTGTGGTCATTCCAGCAAGGACCTTGGTGCAGAGTTTTGCCCTGATCCTGTAGGTAGTATTGGGGATTACTCAAAAGATTTTAACGAGAAGAGTAGTGTGATCAGATTTATATTTCAGAAAAATCACAAAGGAAATGGTATATACTCGCAGTCTTAGAACACCAACGTGAAATTGAAAGGCATTGCAGTTGTTCAGACAAGAATGATAAAGAGCCATTCTAAGGCTTTGGATGTGGGATGGGACTGGGTGAGTTTGGGGTATACCTAGATGACAGTAGATTTAGGCTTATAATGTACTGGATATGGTAGATGAATAAGAGGTAAAAAGACAGAATGGTTCCCTCGTTCGTGGCTGATGACCAGGTTGAATGCTGTACTAACAGATTGGAAATTAGGGCAAAAACAGATTTGGGGAGCAAGATAATGGGTCCAATTTTCCATTTATGGTATTTAATGTGCCTATTAATGTGGGATTGCATCCCAGTGCAATGTCCATTAGGGAGCTGCCTATGTAATTCAGGGACTCATCATCAAGTTCTTAAGTGGAAAGGCAGACTTGGGAGCTTTGGTAAATGAACAGTTGGAGAAATCATGGCAGTGGGCCAGGTCATTCTGGGGAGTCCAAGAGGGGAGATGATCACTTGTGATAAAACCATGGGGGAAGGCCAATACCTAACCTGTATACAGAGAAAGAAGCTCCACAAAGGAGACAGAGCAGACTTATCCAGAAGTGGGAATTCAGGAACGTAGGGGGTGCCTTGAAGAAAAATGGCCAGTGGGAAATTCTGGGGAGGATATGGTAACAATTAAACAAGAGTCTTTGTGTTGAGCAATTCCAGTAACACATTAAAAAAATCTATTTGTTTCGTATACAAGCAATTCTTTCCTATTCTGAACTACTGTAGAATTATGTTTGCACTTCTCTTGTTTATTTTACTTTTTAAAATTTCTATCTTGAGCAGTATTATGTGTTTCTAATTCTTTTTACTCAATTGTCAACTTCTTGAGGGTAGGGATTGTGATTTATTCTTCTTTTAATTATGAATTATGTCCAGCATAAGAAAGCACTGAAATGTTTATTGAATGACTGCATTATTAATGGTTACTAATTTGACACCAAAATTGTAAACTATTTTTTACCACATTGCTAAAAACAGTTATAAACTACATTGCCTATATTTTTTTTTTTTTGCCTTTTAAAATGGAGTATACTGAGCATAATGTACCATCTTTTTGTTAGAATCACTCTATTATATGAGTTCATGGGGCTATTTACACTGAAATGACTACACTGTTGTTGGACATTCAGCCTTATCTCTACTCTTTTCTTTTCCTTGGATGAAAAATAATAGATCAGATGACAAGTGTAGTATTTTTCAAAAATTTGAAATTCTGAGGTAAACATGTTTACATGCGAATTATTTGTATGAAACCAGTGTCATTCTAATTCTCAATATGGTGTCCCAAATTTGATTGGATGGGGAAAGGGAAGGGAGACGGGTTCAAGATTGGGCTCAGAGGTAACCTTGCTGTACCTCAAGTTGTGAGCGCATAAGCAAACTTTTAAAAATAGTGCTTTTGTACTTTTCTAAACTTACATTGGCTACATCTGTAAGAGTTAAATGTGTGAGCTTTAAGCAAGATTCTTGGTATTTTCTGCCTCTGTGTAAGGGCATAACATTTTATTGTTTTTATGAAGCTGTCAGAATTTCTAATGTAATGGTAGGATTCATTTTTTTCCCTTAAGAAATTTGGAAATTGGAAGATAAGCCTGTTTTGTTTTTTTTTTTTAAAGAATAAATATATCTGTAATGCCTGGAGTAAGCTAAATATTGATCTTAGGTTTACACAGGGTTCAGTGTGAATTTGTTTGACTCAATTTACAACTTGGATAAAGATTTAAAATAATCAACCAGTTATTGATACTTTGGCAAATAGACTCCATGAAAGCTGTGATAGTAGCATTTTAAACCTATATCTTAAGACTGTGTCTAAGTGCATAAACTAATTGTTAAAAATACATGGAGTTCTTGACTTTGAACATTTCATGAGTAGAAGGATTCTAAATATAAAAAAGATAAAATGTATTATGTTGTCTGCTTTTTTCAGACTATTTTGGCCAAAATCAAAGTGTTATGATTACTTATATCAAGAAGCAGAAGCTCTTCTGAAAACTTTTCCAATTCAAGCCACAATTTCATTTTATGAAGATTCTGATAGTGAAGATGAAATTGAGGAACTGGCCTGTGAAAATTAATCTGATTAGTTACTTTTGATAATATTAAACATTTGTAGGATTTAAATTTAGTGTGCAAATATATCATAATTCTTTAAATTTATTTATTTGTATGTAAATTATTAATAAAATGAATATTTTGTAAGTACTATAGTAGTTGGGCCTTTTCTTTAAATCCCTACACTGTTATTCAATGCTGGAATTTAAAAGTAGGTGCCATTTACAAATATCTTGATTGTACTGTAAACATTTGGAGCTTACAAAAGATAATTTTGATCTCAAACTATGAAGTTTATCTCTAGTAATGATTTTGCAAATATTTAGTTATACTTTTGCATAGAATGACAATATTTTCAAACTGAATCTTGTAACATCTATTTCCTATCGATTTCCATTGGCTATTGTAGTTACAGATGAATATTATTTGATAATGAAGAAAATCACCTCATGTCCGAATTACACATTATTATTATGTATTTGCTAGCAGATGGTGAAAAACACTTTAAATCATTGTCTGTAATTGAGAATGGGAATTAGTGTCAGGACTATTAAATTTTAGGCATTTTTAATGAATGATGAGTCAAGTAATTCTCTCTTTAATACTCTTCTGCTGTCCTTAAATCCAGTAATAAAATAGCATGGGTGTTCAATACTTATGGCAGTACATTGAGGAATCCATAGAATTAAAATGTCTAAATGGGCATCACTTACATAGAGTCTAAAAAGGGCAGCCAAAAGGTCAGAGTTTGATAGTGTTATTTCCACTTTCTCTCCAAGGGGGAATTTGGGCAGATATGAAACATTCTCCAACAACATCACCTTCCTTTGCTCTGGTTTTCTGCTCTGATATTCTCATGAAAGCATTTTCTTATGGAAAGAGAAATAAGAAATTCTCAGTGGGAAAGAGAATATCATACCCAGACTCAGAGGAGGCACAGTGCTGAAGTGAAATACTAAGGTGCAGAGTGCACATGGAGCGGGCTGGAGGCGGAGGGCGCGGTTGCTGGAACTCTGTCCTTAGGGACGGAACTGAGAGCAGCCATAACTGCTCGCTCCGGCCCGCCCTGTAGATCCCTGGGGACCCACACCGCCTAAGCCCTGAGCAGAACCATTTGCCGGATAGCCTCAGGCAAAGGCTAGATTAGCACCGCCCTAGAGATCCAGCACAGAAGCTCTCCCACTGCAGACACAGCGGACCCTCATAGCCAGTTAGCCTGGAGGTCAAATCACCCCCGGTATTGCCGACAACAATCAAGGCTTAACTACAACAAGACTGCGCACAAAGACCACTAGGGGGTGCACCAAGAAAGCATAAAAAATGTGGAGACAAAGAAACAGGACAAAACTGTCAATGGAGGATATTGAGTTCAGAACCACACTTTTAAGGTCTCTTAAGAACTGTCTAGAAGCCGTCAATAAATGTAGTGAGATCCTCAAGAAATCTAATGAGACCCTCGATGTTATGATAAAGAACCAACTAGAAATTAAGCATACACGGACTGAAATAACAAATACTATACAGACTCCCAACAGCAGACCAGAGGAGCGCAAGAATCAAGGCAAAGATTTGAAATGCGAAGAAGCAAAAAACACCCAACCAGAAAAGCAAAATGAAAAAAGAATCCGAAAATACAAAGATAGTGTAAGGAGCCTCTGGGACAGCTTCAAGCGTACCAACATCAGAATTATAGGGGTGCCAGAAGATGAGAGAGAGCAAGATATTGAAAACCTATTTGAAGAAATAATGACAGAAAACTTCCCCCACCTGGTGAAAGAAATAGACTTACAGGTCCAGGAAGCGCAGAGAACCCCAAACAAAAGGAACCCAAAGAGGACCACACCAAGACACATCATAATTAAAATGCCAAGAGCAAAAGACAAAGAGAGAATCTTAAAAGCAGCAAGAGAAAGAAACTCAGTTACCTACAAGGGAATACCCATACGACTGTCAGCTGATTTCTCAACAGAAACTTTTCAGGCCAGAAGGGAATGGCAAGAAATATTCAAAGTGATGAATACCAAGAACCTACAACCAAGATTACTTTATCCAGCAAAGCTATCATTCAGAACTGAAGGTCATCACCACCAAACCAGTATTATATGAAATGCTGAAAGGTATCCTTTAAGAAGAGGAAGAAGAAGAAAAAGGTAAAGATACAAATTATGAACAACAAACATGCATCTATCAACAAGTGAATCTAAGAATCAAGTGAACAAATAATCTGGTGATCATAATAGAATCAGGGACATAGAAAGGGAATGGACTGACTATTCTTGGTGGGGAAAGGGGTGTGGGAGATGCGGGAAGAGACTGGACAAAAATCGTGCACCTATGGATGAGGACAGTGGGTGGGGAGTGAGGGCGGAGGGTGGGGCGGGAACTGGGAGGAGGAGAGTTATGGGGGGAAAAAAGAGGAACAAATGTAATAATCTGAACAATAAAGATTTAATTAAAAAAAAAGAAATTCTCAGTGATTGGTGTTTTAAAGTAGATTTATAGAAGAATACAACTCTTTTAATGTGAGAGAAAAAGAGTACTTTGCAAGGTAAAGGTAACAATAAACTATGGTAATGAATGAAGTTCCTTTTAGCTCAAATACATTTTTTTCACAATAAACATTTCAATTGCAAATAAAGAATGTTTCTGCAATATTTCAGAACAATAATAGGCAGAGGTAAAGGTCTGAGATGGTTACCTAGCTAAGAAATGCCTCTTACTTGAATAGCTACTTATATTTCCTCATTTTCCTGTCTAATTGAAAAAATTGACAGACATTAATTTACAGACACTTTAAGGACAAGGCAATTGAAATAGGGCAAGTTCAAACCATAGTTCAGACTCAGGAAAAGTTAGTAATGGAATGAGGCTGTGGAGAGTCATTTAGAACTATATTTCTTCTGAAAACTTTCTCCCTTCACTGCATTCTGTTCTCAGATGTGTGTGTTCCCCAAGGAAAATACTCATCAGGTCTCCGATCCGAAACCTTGAGACTTAGAGACTGTTGTTTACCTGCATGGTATTTGTGCTTCTCATCGATATGTTGGAATAGTATGAAGAACCACTGCCATTTATTGAGTGCCTTCTTTTATTTTTTTCTTTTTGATTAAGGTATTACATATGTGTCCTTATCCCCCCACAATATGATGTATCTCAGAATCACCATGCTGAATGAAAAAAGCTGGATGCCACCGAAGAGTGCATATTTATATGATACCATGTATACAGAATTTAAGAAAATACAAATTAATTTATATACCCAAGGATATGTTTGAGTGCCTTCTTTTAACCAGGCACTGTTTTATGTAGTTTACATCATCTTATTTAATCCTTACTAAAACATAAATTCATTATGCAGATGAGAAAATCAGGCTTTGAGATACTAAAGTACCTTGCATAACCTGACTCTTAAATACTACAATGGGGGGTGGGCTGCATCAGTATACAATTCCTTGTATCTTTTAGGGAAGGCAGGAAGTTAGATGAAGAGGGAAAACTCATGAGCAGGCGAATGGAGCATAAGACTTTACTAAGGTCTTTGACTCATAATGTCAGTCATTAGCGGGGGTTCTTAAAGGTGGAAGTTTTGTCTTCACCTCACAGGAGTGGCTGTTTGCATTTGACACCTTGGTTTTTAAAGCTTCCCTTTCCTTTACAGCTTGGTGCCTTAGAGGAGAGTTTCAGAGAAAACAGAATTCTAAGTTGTGTAATGGTAGTGCTTGTTTAACAATGGACAGGCACTTGTGGGTGAGTCCGCAAGCATTTGGTCTTAGATGCGGTCAGCACCAAGGCTAAGGAACAGTTTCACTCTTATCTTACGCAGAATAGCTGTCACGTCCCCGCGGTGCTGAAGTTCAGGCAGAACTAACGGAGCATGCGTACTTTCCCCTGGTTCCGCGTCCCCTCCCCAGCTAACTCCCTGTCCGTCACGTTGGCCCCGCCCTCCGCGACTCGACGTGCTGCGTCATGACGCGCCTCACCCCGGGCGACCCCGGAAGTGGGTCGGGGGCTTGGCCTCTGCCCGGCCTCGGAGCCGGCGCGGGAGGTGTAACCCCGGAGGGGTCCGGCCGAGCGATCCCGTCCAGCGGCGGACCCTAGGCAGGGCCCGGGCCGGGGGTCCAGGATGCTGAACATCCCTTCCCAGTCTTTCCCAGCCCCCCGCTCGCAGCAGCGCGCCGCCTCCGGGGGGCGTAGCAAGGTAAGCGGCTGACAGCCGCGGACGGTCCAGCTCAGCGCTTGCCTTCCGCGGCGCTTCGGGTTCCCGCACAGCCCCTTCTCCCCTTCCTCCCCTCTCCCCGCTCCGGTTCTCACCGCCGGCCCTTCCTTTCCTAGTTGGCAGTCTTTCTGATCCCAGGCTGCCCCCAGCCCTCGAACTCTCCTGACCCCCTCTCACCTCCTAGTCGCTTCTCTTCCCGGCCTTTACCCCGTCCTGCCCATTCCGTTCTTCCAAGTCGCCCCGCGGACTAAGTTCAGATGTAAATGACAGGCCTGGCACCGTGCTTCCTGCTAATAGGGACTGAGTATTGGCTTTCTTCCCTCAACCTGTCCTCCTCTCTGGTCTTTTGTTCTCTTTCTGGGGTAGTTCTGAGGGATGGGGGTCCCAGCGGAAGGGAAAGGTTGGGCAGGGGCGACAGTGACCTGTGACTATCCCTGCAGGGGCGGGGGCTCCCCGAGCTCGGGGAGATCGGAGAAGGGAGACCACATGTCTGCAAACCTGCAGTTTACGGAGCCTTATCCTTGTCGAAGTCATACTGCCCTTCTTTCTTCCTCTGGTACTTCAGTTTTTGTGTTGTTTTTTTATCACTGCCTTTTCTACTGATAACACTTGATGACTTCGAAGCGAATATACTCTTTAAGTTTTTGTTGAACCTAGTTACCGTTAGCAACAGGTGGAATACAATCTATTTTACATTTGCAAGATTTAATAAAACCGTCTCCTTTGCTCATTGCAACATGAATTGCTGGCTCCTGTTATTTGTTGGTTCCTCGTTCTGTAACCACATCGTGGTTTTTTTTTTTGTTGTTTTTTTTTTTGGTTTTGGTTTTTGTTTTTTGGTTTTTTTTTGAGACTTCCACCTGCTTGGAACACTCCTTTTTCATTTCTGGGCTCTGGGGGCTTAGCATCATTTGGGACCTTCCC